ACCCTATCGGTAGTAAAGCAATGTACAGCAAGAGTATGCATGGGAATATCATTCACACTCCTCCCTCCTTATATTTTAAACAGAACCTGACATATTTTGTACTTGTTCACTTTCTTTTGTGTTTATTTTCCTTGCTGCTGTTAGATAAGCATGTCACCAATGAACAGAGAGCACATATCTGCATTTTTTTTGTTATTTATGAATAAGCACAGCAACACCCACCCTGGCCTGATTGCTCAGGCTAATGCTATTCACTCTGGAGGCTCATAGAATCTCAGAATGTTGGTCCAGGAGAAACGTTGTGAAATGTTAATAGAAAATGAACCACACGCGATCCTACCTCCTTAAGCATATGGTAAGTGGGTGCTACTGTTGCTCTGGGAACTTGTGGACAGTCAGTATTCTTGCAGGCAGAGATAGGGCCATGCTAATATTCTTCATGTTCAGTATTTTAAATTAAAATATCCTTAACAGGATCAGTTCTATATACCATTAAAGTTATGCTTGTGTTTAAATGCAAAATGTTCTATTCGGAAAGCCACCCTAGTCCACCAGCCAGTAAAGGAAATTCTGTAGACAGAAAACAGGGTAAAAAATAAATCTCTTTTCTCATTTCTAATAATAACCATTACTAGTAACTTCAGAGGCATTGTAAAGTGTACCAGACAGACACATGGTAGTCAGCTGTATGTGTTACAGATATATATGTTACACCTATACATCCAGAAATTATGGCTAGGAAGTCTTCTGCCCTGATACAGATGTTAGGCCTGCAGAGGTCTACATCTGACCCAGCTATCCAATGCTCCCTTGATTGTTGATGGGTAGGAACAAGCACTTGTGAGGCACAATCTTGGTCATGCAAAAGCAAAGTCTTCAGTCAGTCAGATGAACCATAGTACTGAAGTGCATGTTACTACTCTCTTTTCCAGGGAAGGGGGAAAGCAAATTTATTTACTAGCTTAGTTGTAGACAACTACAGTTAGAACAGACAAATTACATCATAGATTTTTGGGAGAACAGTTACACTGACTAGCCTTTTCCAAGATAATAGCTGAACTCCAGTCCTTCTGGCATTCAAGGATTCTTTTAACCTTGGGCTTAAATTGGGCAAGATTGATACGGTTTGCTCCATTTATTCCATGTCCTTTAGGGCAAGAAAGGTGTAATTTGAGTT